TTTAGGTTTTTGACCGTAATTCGAAAACAAGTTACTTTTCTGAGATCTTTTTCCAGAAGGAAAAAAGATAATATTTTCTGCAAAATACACATGTCAACTCCCAAATCGGATAATATTTGACCCTGCTAGAGCGCGCTCAAAAATACCCACATTTTGACACTTGACAAAAAATGCCGTAATATCAATTGATATACTTATATTCAAATTTTGATATGAATCCCTAGTATGCTTTGTCACTTTTTCGAAATTGCGACTGATATTAGTTTTATGAATTTTCTATTATTTTCTATTCTTCAAAGGCACAAACTTTTAACAGTTATTTCAGTTTTATTTCATGCTACTTGATTGTTCTCTGTGGTTCTGGCGTTGAATTTGGTCATTATTACGCCTTAGTCAAAGACGAAACGGACTGGTTTAAGTTTGACGATAGCTGTGTCACGAAGTGTTCTGGCGATATATTGAATTTATTGGAGCCTCTGGAGACACCTCACATTTTGTTTTATGAGTAATAGAGGACATTGGCAGATTAAGATCTTGAGATGATGTGGTGTTGCAGGTTTTTCCGGGTTTTCCTGCAGCTGAAAAAGCAAGTGTGCCAGTGGAATCAATAACGTCTCCCCGGAGCGCCAATTATTTTTTTTGCTGTTTTATAGTTTCATGATTTGTATTTTGGAGGTGATATTGAACTGGTAGATTATTAATTTCGTTATTCATTTTCGCACAACTTAAAATGCTTCGACGTGTCACCAATATTTCTTTCACGAAAGAGAAAAGTAAGCAATTTTTTGTTATTTTTTTGTTTTATATGTGTGAGTAGAGATCTTTTTCTTTTGAAGTTCACTATTACTAATTTTTATTGTTTTTCAATTGTGGGAGATGAATAGTCCCAGAAAAAGTCAATAAAAACAAACTAATTATCGAACAATAGAGAATAGTGCCTTTCATGTGAACTGAAACAAAAAAACGAGTTTTTTTCTGATATTTCCAGTTCGATTCTCGAAACGGAATGAAGCCAAAACATTAAAAAACCAGTTAACTTCAATGACCCTGGATTATTTTCGAACCCTTACACTTGACAATTCTGTTCCAGTGCTTCCAACGTATTGTTGGCGTTTCTCGTATTTTATCAACGGAAAAACCGCCATGTTTTGAAGAGTTTAAGCTTGCAAAATCCTCGAACGGCAGCAAACCGGATAATGTTTGAATATTCAAAATAATCCGGTGCCGTATTGTTCGAATAAAATTCGGTCGAGTTTAAATCTCTTATATTATTGTTCGTCGAATTTTCAACAACTATGCAGTACAATAATGCGAGATTATATGTTTTAAATATTATGTTCGAGTGTACGGCATTCTGTGTATTAAAACAATGCGGGGTTTGCAGCGAGGATGCTGGAAAGGGTTGAGGTGGCTTTTCCCGGAATGAATGCATGATTAATTAGGTAGAATACATCTTGAAAGGCATTCGAGAAGAAAAATATGTTGTGAGAAAACTCACCGTGGTGAGTTATGTATGACAGCAAAATAAATTGATTGATCAATATATTTTGTTTTGGAAACTCGCCAATCGGAAAAAGAAAGAAGGTGCTTGTTATATGATAGTACATAAGTTTTTCATTCATTTATGAAAAGTGCTGCTGTCGCTTCAGATATGAATTGATAATTGGGGATTATTTTCTTCTTTTTCTTCTACTCCATATCGAACCCAAGTCACTAAGACTTATCAAAATGGAAAGTTGTACAACTTCACTTTCCTGAAGTTCTTTCTGAGTGTATTCAGATGCATAACCTTTTGTTACCTATTATTTTTTTTTCAACTGTGGACTTCTTGTTGATTTTTGGTACTACAGCATCGTTCTGTCACTGAACTCAAGAAGTAGCACCAGAACAACTAGCTGGAAATTGAATAACTATGCTCTAATGTTTTCATGAAAATAACTTGCTATCCACCGAGGTCATAAACTTCAGTGAAGTTTTTCATTTCCTAAGAACTGTTGTTAGCTCTTCATCTTGCCTAACATATAATATTTGTCAGTTTACGTTTGTAAATTCACCAGTATTCCCAGACAATAGGAGTCATTAACTATCGGTTACCATCGAAAAGAAGCACTGTTCCCAAACACCAGACCTGCAATGCAATGTGCGTATCACCTACCAAGTTGACGTTTCCGATATTAGTCTTCATTTCCTGAAGACGCTAACTTGGTAGATGGAACGAGTACTTAGGAGAGCGTTGCAGTTCTGGTGTTCGGAAATAGATTGCTTTGGGGTTCAATCTACGACAGAGCATCCAGTTCATCTCATTATCGGTTACTACATTGGAGCTGTGCAATCATATTTTCAGTTCCTTATAGATGTCATTACCATTATTCTGCCACAATCGACAAAACATATCTCCTTTCTACAAAAAGTACAATGATGTACAATGATGATATTAATGATAATGATAATAATGGGAGTTTGCATCCCAAATGGGTTGTATTTCTCCCGACAACAGGGAGGCACTGAACTTTTGAGTTTGTAGTGTCTACATGACAGAATGGTACTGGATGGAATCTGTGAATTTGTTAAGAGTTCGGAACCTCTTCTCTGCATGATCTGCGACAATGAGAGAGGATTCCTCTTAAGGGCAGCTGCCTGAGTAGCTGGTGAAATCGATTAGTTCTCGACACTGAACGAGGTGATTACAACTCTGTCACCGAGTTTGGACCCGTTCAGCAAAAGATCCATATATAAGTCGCAGAGATCACTTCCTGCGGCAACATAGGATAGTTCAATTCCTGAATTATTCTTCAACAACATTGAAGACCTTGGCTCATCGAAGCGCCTGACCTTGGCTTTCCTCAGGTTGAGTGCGCTGAAATCGGAAACTGGTTCATCATGGCCTGCCAGGCTGGTGTCTTCAATACCTTAGTCTACCACAGTCGCGTGGTGGGTATAGAGGATCCTGACACAAGATGTAGGGCCTGCCGCGAGGCGTCTGAAACTCTAATGCACTTGCTGTCAGCATGTCCAGCATGTGCGGTCTTGGCCTATATCCATCGGCATAACGCGGCCCTAATAGTGGTTTATTACCACCTACGGAACTCTTACGGCATTATCGAAATACCGGTAATGCCCTACGCTCCGAGGGATATTGAATCCGTGGTGGGTAACGAGAAGTGCTGAAGTTATTGGAACTATTTGTTCCCCATCCTCAGGCCCATACAAGCTATTAAGCCTGATGTAGTCCTTCTCGACCACCAGAGCAAAACGATATTTGTCGTGGAGATTTTCTCTTCAAACTCCATAATCTCTATCCAGACCTCTCTGTCAAAATAGTTGTTACGATTATTGAAGTCTTTGGTGGAATGAAGCCTTCTCTACTCTCGAATCTTAAGATCATGCCGGCTTGCTGCACTGAGGCCAAAATCTTAGCCGGGCAAATGCAGAAGGCTGTCAGTCTTGTCTTAAACGTCTGCTTAGTGCACATGATTATGGGATCACTTATACCTCCTGAATATACCTGGGATTCGGGGAGAGGGCCCCGATACTCTCCTCTTGGAATTAACATTTTTCATAATACCCTTGTTTGTTTCCCGTCTTTGAGGTTGCTGGTGAACATATACCCAGAGAGATAACTTTTTGTGAGCTCACATAATAAGTAAAAATCAATGATCAAGACTCATATCTGAAATCTTTAAAAGCCACCAAGATAATTCCCATACACCTAATCTTGAACAGCAATAAAGGTTTTCCTTTTCAGCTCTTCTGATATTGCAATCGATATAATATGCCTCTGGAAAGCATGTTTCTTTGTCAGGTTATACTAGTTATAACATTTTGAAAAATACCTCTCCAAGAAGACTTTCGTTAGGATACTTTTCACAATTCAAGTTATTTACAAGCCAGTCTCTATAACCGTTTCAGTATTGTGACTGCCGTTTTTTAAACCGTCATATTGACATATGTATATCTCTGTATCTCTTTGCAAAACAGTCGACAGACTTTTTTCATTTTCAATCATCTAATATGAAATAAACATGTTTACTTGGTATACTGTCAAACAAATTTTTTCAATTATTTGAAATATTTCCACCAAAAGAGAAGACGTGTTTTTCTATTACTTCCATTGTTTTCTGTTCATCGGTGATAAACATTGCATTTATTTTTTTGTAATTATTCAAATTGATTAACATACTGAGCTGTTGGTGTTTCAACATTTGATCTATTTTATTTGTTTTTTATGTTTCCTCACAGTTTCCCATTATCACTTTTTTGAAAATTCTTCCATGTCATTTCTTGTTTCAATTTGATCAGTTACAGAATCAGTAATGTGAGTTTATTTCCAGAAAAATGTCTGTTTTTTCAGGAGTTGTGCGAAGCAGTTCGCATGGAAGCAAACAATTAGAATGGAGCAATTTTCTATTTGCGAATGAACTCATACAAAAACCTTTCACAAATTTTGCTACTCATTTTTGCTCATTTTATGACAGTACTTTCGTTTTTTTAACTAATCAACCAAGTATTTCGATTCGAATATTTTCAGTATTTTCAATAATTTCAACATTTATTTCAATTTTATTCAATCTCCATATTCAAAAAGATATTCGTCCAACTTTTGCTCTAGAGATGAGTACTTTGAATACTGGTTAATATTTATAGATCATCACCTGATTTTTTTTTGAATTCACTGAATAAATAGAATGAATAAATTAACATCAGAACTGAATCATCTTCATCGCCATCGCAAATCATAACCTCATTATTATTTTCGGTACATGATCGAGCGAAAACGTAAACTGGAATAAAACAGTTAATTAAAGCAAAGCTTGCCTAATGAAGAAGACGAACCGAACAAATTCAAAGGGTTAAGTAATCAATATATTAATCAAGCGCACAAACACAATTACCGTTTGTTAAGGAAGTTATAATATTTACTAAACTTCTAATTAGTTCCTCGAAGTACATGAGTATCCAATACGACTCGTTGTCTTAAAGGGAATGAATGATAAATAAACTTTCTGATGAAGATCCATTTAATATTCTGCCCCTACACCAATGAATCATCATTTCAAACGTAAGAATTACATTGATATAAAAAAAAGTTCATAAATGCAAATCAACAACAAAAATTTTTTGTAATTATAGCATGGAGAAATAATGATGATAAAATAGCACCTTTCAAGTACGGCATGTTCTTAAAACAATATTAACATGTCGCCTGTTTTCACATCGTTGAAGAAGTTGAAATCTAACTTAACTAAACTCATATTAAAAAAAACTTCTTGACATTCTTCAAAACTGGCATGAAAATTCTAAATCAAGTTCATAGTCACAGTCACAAAAAATAGACCTTTCCAACTTTCGTTGAAAATTCTTCGCTTGAATAAAATAATCGTTAAAAATTTCGAAAAATTAACACTATCAACGTCATGTTGCTAGTCCTTATCGTTGGTGTTTTCTCTTCTTCAATCTGATATTGATTCCCGTCACAGATTTGAGGGTTATTTGGAATTCCAGTTGGACATTGAATCCTGGAACGGGAAGCACCTCGTATTCTCTGATTACTTTGGCAAGCGAACATTTTGCAGAGTACATGGCGTATTTGTAACCTGAAATTTCAATAGTCGCAATTTGTTAAATAAAAATACATGTGCGTCTGGGTACGCCCGACAGAAGTGATAAACTATCTAAGAAAAGCTTAGGTTATTACTCGAATTTTTCCAACAATCACCCAGCAACTACACTCCAGGAATGTAACCGTGGAAGTGAGAGAATGGATACTCAAGATACTATCTAGAAGAGCAATAAGTATTAATGTAGAAGACATCACAGGGAAATGACTGGTCATGAGGGGATGTCCACAGGGAGGGGTCTTATCACCCTTTCTCTGGAACGTAGTTCTGGATACCCTTAACCTTAACAAAAATGGATTCTACATAATTGCATTCACAGATGACATAGTTATCTTGCAGACCGGCAAATTTGTAAACACACTGGATGGGCTCAAATCAACAGAAACATGGTGTGAGGAACACTCACTGTCGATCAATCCCAAGATGACTGAGATGGTCCTTTTCACCAGGAAAAGAAATTTAACGGGCTTAAAACCTCTCAAAATCTTCAAAAGCGAACTAAATTTCCCTGAAGAGGGAAAATACCTTGGTACTGTCCTCGACAGGAAGCTAACATCTCTCTCATCTACAGAGTAGAGCAAAAAGAGCATACGTGGCTTATGAGCAATGCCGGATGACAGTGGGACGCGCATGGGGTTTTTCACCCTGTGTGGTCACCTGGATCTACAATGCAGTAATAAGACCTATGTTAACGTATGGAGCCGTATGGGACCGAAAGTTCTACAAGCAACGGCCATCCAAAAATTATATCAAATACAGCGACTAGCTTGTTGAAACATCACAGGAGCCATGAGAACAACAGCAACCGCGGCAATGGAATTAATAAGGGTCTGACCCCTCTGGATCTGTACGTTAAGGAGGTTGCGTTAATGGCCATGGTACGATTGCGCACAGCTGGTGTAAACTTTGAAGGTAGGAATGGGTCAATTGAGGCTGGGCCTATGGCGGGAAGCGCTTACTGCGCAACCTCTGCTTCAGGCAACAAGCGATGCAATTGAACCCAGGTTTGTGTTTAATAAACCCTACAAAATAAAAATTAAGCAGAACATAGAGTCAGATGATATAAATGCAATACGGATTTATACAGACGGCTCAAAAACCAGAGAAAGCTCAGGATGTGGAGTGTACTCCAGATCACTAAGCATAAGAATTCAGTGGGGAATGGAAGGAAATACCAGCGTGGTCCAAACAGAACTGGCTGGTATGTCAATCGCCACAAAAGAAATAACCAAGAAAGTAATTTCTGGCAAAAACATAACAATCTGCACTGACAACAGACAAGTCATATTAGCCTTGAACAGACAACGTATAACCTCAGGGCTAGTACTATAGTGTCACCAAGATTTAGCCAAAACCTTGGTAGATAATGACATTATCCTGAGGTAGGTTAAAGGGCATGGGATGGAATCAAAGGATTCAATCTTGCCAGGATCACCTTGTACAACCCTGGGAAGCTGGCGCCGAAGAAATATCTGGCGATGACCAGGTAAAATCTACGCCTGATAGTAGGATTTCTGACTGGCCACTGTCAACTAAGGAAACACCTCTATAATATGGAGCTAGTGGACACACCTCTATGCAGGATGTGTGAACAGGAAGATGAGACTGTCAGGCATGTCCTGTGCAAGTGCCCGGAGTTATCGTCAATAAGAGAGTGTGTGTTCGGCCAGTCTTGGCCTACACCTGCTGATATAGAGGAGATATCTCCCAGTGACCTGTCCACCTTCCTGGAAAGGACAGGATGGACGATGACCTAGGAGAACAACTCTTCGGGAGGATGTACAATGGATCACATGTGGCCTAAGTGCTGTGGGCTCACACTCACCCTTCCTACTCTACAGATACAGAGAATGATTGTCTTTTCGACGAGAGAGGAGGAGCCTGCCTTTCGCTGACTCTGCGTGAGAGAAAGGGAAGCCAAACAGATTGGTGCTGTAATGCGTTAGGTAACGAAGCCCCATCACTTCAAAAACACACTAATGAAAATTAGTATAAAAATTGAACTGAGCAAAGCAATGCTATTTAAAACTACATATATTAATAATTATCTATTGATCACATCTCAAAAATGTGCATTACATTCATGTACATATGGATGGTTATGGATGGATGTGTTCTCAAAATCTTTGACAAGATTTCTGAAAATGTCACCTCGTATTAGTGGTATTTGGCTTTATTATTCCAGTTAACGAGGAAAAGTGTATAAGCCAAATGGAATGGTATCAAAGGTAGATTTTTATAATAAAGTCTTCTCTGAAAACGATAGCAGCAAACCATAAGATGTCATAACTGGTCGAAACAGCGCTGTCTGGCGTCCAAACATAAATGCGTAGTGTTTGGGCTCAAATTGTGGCCTTGCAGTTAAAGCTGCAGTAAAACAGAGAGGGCAAATCTCGTCGGCGGTCGATACTAACTACTAACTTGCAACTGATCGCCTTCGGGACCACGTTCATTTTGAATATTCGAGAACTGAGTTCTTTATTGATCCAGTAGATGGTATCTTCGTAAGGGGAGATTTCATCACCTTCATTCAATCAGAATTATTTCTTAAGGACAGTTGAGTCCAGCAATGCATTCATGGCTCAGCCTAGCACCACTGACGAGACTTATGGTGGGTAGAAAAAACGATGTCTGGTGTTGGGCTCTAGTTTCCAACGATATAACTGTCCTGGACTGTATATCTTCCTTCATTATTCGTATTTTAGTTATTTTCACTTCAGGTATATCTTGCATAAAAATTCTTTTAGGTTTCAAAGGATGGTGGTTTCCTCTGCAACCTTGGATCAGAACTTCACCATGTGGTCTCTGAAACTCCAACTCTCAAGAGCACCCTTTAGCTCGACATCCGGATGTATCCCGAGAGAAAAATTAATGGGAGACCTGATTCCAAAAATTATTCATTCAAATACCAGGAAGAATGAATTCAAAGAAGAGTTCATTGAACTGAGTTAGAATACTAAAACTCAAGTTACTAGGAAGCAGACGTGGGCTACTCCATTCCAAAGGAAGCTTTACTCCAGTAGAGCCAGAACCAACACATGGAGAGCAAGTGAAATGAAACCACGATGTTTAGAAACAATGAACAATCCCTCTTGGCTGTGATTTTAAATAGGTTGCCTTCCAACAACAGGTAAACTTCATCGTCATTCGGAAAATTGTGAATTAACCAAGAAACTATTTTGCATTATTTGACAGATTTCAGTAGTCTGTTTTTCAACACTTTCAGTAATCACTATCATAAAATTGTTGATAGTGAACATAATCAAAGATATTCAAGGACATGAAAATCCAAACGATATAAACAGAATCAATATTCAACGCTAAATGTCATGATATAATAATGATTCTAATGAACATCTTCTTTGCATTGAATGATATGACTAAAAAAATAATTCAAATCTGCAGTGTGAGACTGTATAGACTTGTTTTGAACATTCAGATTCCAAATTGATGTTCAAACTGACTGAATACTAAAGGCGCTAACCATGAATTCCTATGTTAATTATTTTGAAATTATTTTTTTACGGATCACCATCATTACAGAAAACCTGTTTCAAAGTTGCAATTGAGCAAGCTATGCTGTTATATGAAACAGGTAAAAGCAAAGCAACAACATGATGAAGAATGGTGACAGGACAACAGAAATTTCCTTACCAATACATATCCTAGGTCCAGCGCTGAAAGGTAGGTAATTATATTTCGGTATTTTATCGGCATTTTCTGGCAAGAACCTCGAAGGATCATATGTGCCAGGATCTGGAAACAGGTCTGGATCGTTTTGCATGTTGATTATCGGAATTGAAAAAACTGTACCGATGGGATATTTGATTCCATCTAGAAAAATTAATGAGTCAATACAAATAAAATACATCAATTTTTTTACAGAGTTGACTGAACGAACACAATATTTAAAAAAATGGGGTGAAAATACATAAAAACGGCATAAAGTTTAGAACCTTGCTCCTTTCAATCCTTTCAATAGTGATGAGTTCGATCGAAGGCACAGAAAAAAGTTCTACAAAAAACTAGAGCATCGTTAGTTTTAATGGAGACAAGTTTTTGTGGATTTTTCTCAATTTTTATAAATGCAAAGAAGTTGACAATGAGAAAAATGCATGGCAAAATATTTCAAGTGAAATAGTAAGTAATAACTTCAATGCTGTTGAAGACTCAGCTTTGTAAAGGTTATCAAAGACTCTCTTGAAATCATATCATTTTCCAGTTGTGATAAATAACTCATATCATATCTCAGTTTTAAAATACTTTCACTTCGCTATGTATATTAACCCACAATTCTTCTTCAATGTCTTCAATAGAAAAATGTACCCCTGAATACCTGGATATAAATGGTTGAATTATACACCGAGAGAGCCTGTTAATTGTCAAAACTTAATTATCCAGTGCTTTCCTAGAAGTCTTTTCATTGTTGAACAGAAGGTAAAAGTTATGATTCATTTGTGTATCATACACAATCCTTTGCGACTATAGTCGGTTGTGTCAATGATTATCAATTATTACTATAGTATGGTTTTTCTGACAGCTCGTAGGAAAATCAAGAATGGAGCCATTCTTTGAGAAAGTCATTTGAATCAAGTGATAATTGAAGACTTTAATCAAATTTGACTTCTGACACCAATATCAACTCTTTCAAAGATGAAGAAAATAAAAAATCACACAAAAAATTTTCCTGTTTCTAAAGAGGTGGTTTTGAATATACAAGTCTAAAATTTGTGCCTTCTACAATTTTCTAAAACAGTTCAGAACTTTCGAGAGTATTCGAAAACAATCTACGAATTTCCAAAACATTCCGGAACATTATGGAATGTTCAGAAATAGCCTGGAACATTCCAGATCATTGTGTATTATTCAAGAAAATTATATACTGTGGTAGACCTCTATTTCTCATCGAAGATGGAGCTTCTCGTTATGATCTGAAGGGTGTGCTTTCGACAATATACGTATGTAAATTTCTACTCTATAACTCTGGAATATTTCAGAAAGTTCAGGAACATCTCAAAACATCTAAGGTCTCATATCAACTCCTGGTTTTTGATATTATTCACTCAGAAAAAAATATGTTTACAACTTTCAATTTTAATTTTGAACAATAGAAAACAAACAAAAATACGACCTCAACCTTCAAAATGATCCACTACGTAAAACAAACCAACGCGATTACAATCTTTCTTATTTACACGTATCGCATCGGTTTGTCAGGCCTCTTGAATTTATTTTCTTGCACAATAGTTTTAATGTCGCGATATCTCTAACATAATAATTTGAATTATATGGTGTGAATGGCAATTATAATATCTATGAAATGCTCAAGGCAACTCACGAATATATTTTATATGTACCGTCTATATAGCTTTACAATAATTATCATTGTGATGTGACCATTTATTAAACATTGAGATGAATAGTGTGAGCTATCCTAAAGAGGTGGACATACTCTACCTCGACATTTTTTATGCAACATCAAATGATCTAGCGAATTATTATGTTATATCGCGAAGAGGTTATGCAGCGCCTTCGATAAAAGCTCACCTTGACTTCCTAATACATCATTATATTTTAAACAATTCATATGGAATCACTCTGTTCGGTAGTTTATCAAGTTCAGACAAAGAGACTGATATGACGGAGGACTTCAAAATATGTAGTGATTCATACCTAATTCAAATTCTTCTATTATTTGTCGCTCCATGAATGGCACCTGAGGATACATCCGTAAGGCTTCCTTGACAGCACATTCCAAATACTGCATATCGTTCAGCTGATCCATGGAAATATCTCCCTCCGGAGCTATGGCCATTATTTCTTCATACAAAGTCTGCTGAGCTTCCGGTTGTCTAGCGAGTTCAAATAAGGCGAAAGATAATATACCGGCTGAAGTTTCGTGACCCTAGAAAAAGTTAGATAAAATGTACACAGAGTAATGGAAAAATTTGAAACATTCGAGGAAACCAGCATTTACGTTTTGGCATAGACCAACGAAGTTTCGATGGGTCAGACTTAACGATCTGACAATAAAAACTGCGTCTTCACTAACATTTCGCCTTTGTGTTTTCCATTTCTTAAGAACTATTCAAATAATCATATTTGAAATTTCAAAAATATCAAATAATATTGTCATGAACTACCTACTGATAGCGCTAAAAGGATTGCATACGAGTTTTGTTTCTCGAGCAGGTAGTGAGTCAACGACGAATCATCATGGAATCGTCATTTTGAGAAGAACTAAAAGCTAGAGAGTGGAGATCAGAGAAGTTGATAGAGCTACAGAAATTTCGCCCTAGTTTTTCAAAAAAAAAATTAAATGCGTGTAGGCACCAGTCTCAATTTAGTAACGGCAGTCATAGCGAAGTAAACCAGTCAAATATTTTTTTGTGAATCATGAGTGTTTTTCAGGTATGTTTTTCAGTTTTGGGAATGAAGAAAATTGAAAATATTTTCAAATGGATTGATTACATATTTTAAACAAATTTGTCACATTTTTGTCACAATTCCAAGAAGTCACTGAAGTTTCCAAAAATGTTGGGTGAACGGAATAAATATGGTTGTGTGGAGGTGATAAAAGATAATTATAAAATTATAATAATATTATTAATTGGGTGAATTTTCAGAAATTTTGGACTTTTTCCATCACAGGGTGCTTCCTGTATTTTTGTTTTTATATGTCCATTGTTACTATTCATAGTTTATTATTCCTGCGGTTTACAACTCATGATGCAATCTTCGTCTCTGCTTATTTAATTTCCTCCGGAATGTCAATGTGGTTATTCCTCTAACTACTGTTTATAATAGTGATATTTCTGAATCTTTTGAGGTCAAGTGTTACACCAAAACGGAAACTGATAAAATATAACTGTTTTCAAGATAAGAAGAGGCCAGATTAGGAAAATCGGAATCCATAAGAAATACAAAGGCGGTTAAATTAAAAAAAAAATATGTACATTTCAGATTTTGAAAATTCTTTTTTCCAGTTCATATATTGAGTATTTCATTGAGCGCTTCCTATATTCAAATACTCGTAAAACAAAGTGTATGTGAGATGTCATCAAAAATGTTTATTCGTTTGAAAGACCTATCGATGCCATTATGTGTGTAATATAACATCGTTCAAATGTCCGCCACGGCATCTCTGGGTGGAGCGCATCCGAAACGTCCTAATTTCCATGACTCTGGCGCATGAATCAGGCTGAATTTTTCCGATGTGTTGTGTTGGCTTTGAGAATTGATGTGCTTTGTAGCTTATTCGCATACACCTGTGACATAGGAAAACCACACAACAAAAGTCTAACGGGGTCAAATCGCATGATCCCGGTGGCCAGTTCACATCACCTCCACGTGTAATGGCGATGCTCTCAAATCCAAGTCATCTAACTCGGGTCAACAGAAGTTGTAAATCATCGACCTATAGTGCTCGTCATTGACAGTGATGACCTGGACAACGTCATTCTCAAACAAATATGAGCCGATGATGCCGCCAGCCCAAAATCCACACCAAACAGTGACTTTTTCGGGAAGCAATGGACGCTCTTGTATCTCACGTGGATTGATTGGTATCGTCCCAAATTTAACAATTTTGTTCACACACCCATTCATCCAGGAATGGGCCTCATCATTGAAGATGATTTTTCGACGAAAATTAGGGTCAGTTACCAAATACCTCAGAGGCTATTCAGCGAACACACGTCGTTGTCTATGGACGTTTACCTTCAGTTCATGTGTCAGTTGAATTGTTTACGTGTTCAGGCTCAAGTCACGATGCAAAATTTGCCAAGCTCTGGTCTGCGAAAGGCCGAGCTCTTATGAGCGTCATGAAATCGACTGCCTCAGATTCTCCTGCACACTCTCACAGACAGCAGCGATGCTTTCGGCAAATCTTGCGTTTCGTTCACATACGGGTGTTGGTCGATGGTTTCCTGAACCGGTGGACCTAAATTTATCCACTACATTGCCAAAAGTCAGTTCTCTCGGTAGGACGAACGTTGCCCGAACAAAACACCCATTTTGATAAAACAATTTCATTATTCGGACGTATTGTTGGATGCTTCATCCGCCAATGGTGATTTGGCAGAACAGACTGAATAAATGATAATTACTTTCTTGGAAGACCCGTTAGAAAATAAAATTGTGATGGTTTCTCGGAGGTGAATAACGCCAAAAAAATTAAAACGAAATTGGAAATTTTATATTTTTTCGAAAATCTACCCAAATTTGTATCCTTTTCCCAAATTTGTCTCCCTTGTATAGTCTCAATATCATCTGACTCATTCAAGATGGCCCGTTTTATCTGGAACGTACTGTATATAATTTTTTACTGGGAATTTCTTATTTAGCAGAAACATATTCAAAGTCACCAAATTTTTACTTACAGCCACCATGAAGGTATCAATTTCTTCCCTGATATCTTCATACGTCAGCGTGCCTCTTTCACTTTCCTCCAACAATATATCCATCAGAGCAGCTTTTTTTTTTATCCCAAAATCGTTTTCAGTACCAACTTCTTTTCTCTCTTCTTTGAAAGTTTTGCTTCGTCTTTCGATGACATCAAGCGTGAACTTCTTCAGCGTACCGACATAGTCCAAATAGATTTTGCTGTGCTTGGAAAACATAAGAAAGATCGTTTCGAATCGTTGCCAAAAGGAGAAGAATCTCACGCCGACTATTCGTAACATCACTTTAGTTTTTTCAATATATTCTTCTTCCGCTGCATTTTCTTCCGGTTTCAGTTTGATACCCATAAGATTTTCTAAAAAAAAATAATAGAAAATGTTATTCCAAGGCTGAAGCCCACTTGAAAAGATCATACGAAAACCTAAACTGCCCAAATCATAAGGGAATACTTGCAACATGTTGGAATAAGAAGTATTATTATGCCTCCCAAAAGCCTACATATGATCCCCATGGAGCAACAAATTGGGTCTGTTCCAGATGACGTTCCTCAAAAAATGACTCCAAACTTTATTCAAAGCAATAAATTAATGGATGTAGCCGTAGGAGACCATCATAAGAAATAAAAACGGGAAGTTTTATTTCGCACTTATTCATTTATTTCTTTTATCAGGATAGGAAGATCAGTTTGATCTTCCTCTTGAAGATCAGTTTAATTTTCCTCTTGAAGATGATCATTTGGTGATCGAAACACATGTGGAGGTGTTAAAATAACGGTTTGGTGAAAAAACTCCAGTAATATTCATTACTACACCAAAGGTTTCAAACAGTGCATCACAAGTAGTGAGAATGAGTTCAATAATATTATCAGAAAATTAAATTACATACTGAAATAATGGAAAAATTCACATGACGTTTTGAAAATAAAATGAAAACATATACCTATTATTCAAGAGTTCAAATTACCTGTTCTAATGACAAATGTTTTACAGACTGAAACAAATTCATTGATTTTTTATTAGGGCAGTTTTTGAATCTCAGTATATCTGAGAATTTGTCACTTATTTCATTCGTGTTAAATGAAGAAAAAAGGATATGTTGATATCGATAGTGGAAAAAAGGATCGGTTGATATCGTAGCAAGCGAGAAAAGTTATAAACAAAGTTATATTCTTCAATTCATTTTGGCCAACAATATCATACTACTAAAGATGCCAGTATATAGCAGATGGAGCCAAGTCGTTACAAAAATGGAAAATATAATTACTTACATTATCTAAATTTGAATTGAAAAGGGTTATACTTTAACGAATATTCAAACAAGATTATTTTTGGCTGGAAACAAATACGCGGATGAATGTCATTACGATGTCATCGATGACATGAATATAGATCAAATTCATTCCGTAACATAAAACCATAATTTATGAATGAATTGTGCCTTATGGCGAAATATCGATGTCTACCAGTGAGGATGACAGCGTTCCATGTGAGTGAAATTTTTACCTTTCATTTGGAATATTGTGTAGAAATCCTGTGAATGATATCTGACTCAGTTCCATCACGGATGTTTGGAATACAAACTGAGTAGAGAAAAGTGTTTTTTCTATACTTCAGTGTTCATTCAAAAGTATTTGTTTCGGAAGAATGTTTCTTTCGTGTAATTCAATCTTTATATGGAAGTAGCTATTTCAGTAGGCCTTTTTCTTCCAGTTTGTATGAAAGTTACTTATTTGCATAATCTACACATCTATGTATGGAGTTACTTCTTTTGAAATTGATTGCTTTCTTCCTTTCTTTAGAAGATTCCCATGAAGATGGAGAACTAATGACTGGTTTATCATTTTCCTTCTTTCTCTCCATTTGTCTCCTGAAACATAAATGCATATTTGTGAGAATCAATTAGACAATTTCATGAATAATTTAGTATCAAATAGAAGTTCACCCCTGAAGAGCGTTATATCAGGAGTACCTCAAGGCTCAATTCTTGGCCCTCACCTATTTTTGTTATACACTGCAGACATTTTTTCTCAAATTAAACATTTGCGGATGACAAGCAGTTATATTATACTATAGCAAAAAATAAATGATGGAATGGAATAAACACTCTATCGAACAAACACAATTGGAAACTGAATCCTGGTGAATGCCATGCCATGTCCTTCGGGAACACATGCGGAAACGCATGTGTAAAACAGCTTATGATTAAATCATATGGCCCCCTCAAAGTACTTTATTCACATAGACAAAGCTTGTCCCCTAGTACAGAAAAGCTACTTTCCCAATCGCGTATCCTATCAATCATCAAATATAGAGACTTTGTCTTGGATTTGGCTAATCAATATAAAATACAAAGTGTGCAAAATTCTTGTGTTCGTTTCATCTTGGGAATACGTAAATTTCAACATATTTCCCAAGCTCGTGCGAACCTTGGTCGGGTATCAATGCCCGTTCTCAGTGAATATAACTACTGCAACATCACTTATTCAGTACTGACATCTAAAATACATGTAACTCTATTCAATAAATTGACGTTCCCTCAACCGTCGAACTAACCAAAACCTACACATCCCTCGTCATTCGTCAGCCACGTTCAGAAAATAATTTTCCTTCCTATCTGTATTTTTTCACAACACGATCATTAAAGATCTAAAAGCAAAATTCCATATGTGATCAGAAGACTCAAATTATTTTCATTTTGAATTGTGTTGCTTGTTGTATACGTCTAATAATTTTTTCCATCAAACAATCTATATTTTTTTGTCAATTTACTATCTTTACTTATTATGCATAGTAGGTTAAGTATAAAAGTAGCTATAGCTAAACTTCGCCTATTATGTAATATTGAATACTATATAAAATCGATTATAATTATTATCATTGAATTTGTAATAAACAATTTTCCTGGAGAAAATTTCAATAACAGAGCTAAGCACTAGCAAGTTATTCGAATTAATACGGTCAATGACAGCAGCACAGGTCACATTCACGAACAAGCAGCACAAACAAGGTCATTTGATTCGATTAAGAGAAACAAAGCCACGCCCTTTACCTAATCGCCTTTGATATTGTATACCGCAGTGGTAGATGAAACATCAGTCATAAAAACCACGGCCATAAATCCAGAAAATAGCTTCAACACAGTTATATCCGGTCTTGAAAGTTCACACTCTTTGATCTTTGGGTATATTTCATAACCTTGTACCAGTTCTACTACATTCGAAAATGTTTCGTGATGATTTTCTAGAAAATAATGATTTTAATAAAAAATATTGTCACTTTACCTTTGCTGGTGGCTAATCCTTCTCCAATCCAACCTTTGAGGACATCAAAATTGTCTGACTTGGTTGTATGAGCATTGGAGGTCACAATATAATGTATATGTTCTGGTTTAGAATGCACCACACGAACCTGGGGCCCTGTATATATGACGAACGTTGGTTTATACCGCTCGTAGAGATTTTGCATATCAACCAATATTCCTGCAAATTAAATTCCATCAGTCTCATATACAGTTAGGACGTAAAGAGTCCTCCCCTTCCCTTAACTTGACGGAACAAGCTATCGAAGTCTGGTGAAATTCAGGTAGAATGGTACTACTTTTACTACTTTTTGGCATAAATATGATTGTGGTCACGTGGCTTAGTGTTAAGAAGGCACCATCAGCTTTTTTTTATGTAAAGGGGAGTCACGTGGCTCCTGGTTTTGAAGGACGTACTTTTAATTGCGACAACATTTTAAGTAACAATTTCAAATATTTCAACAAGTGCTTGAAATGTTCACCGTTCGCTTCTTGACAGAAAAAAAGTCCATAGGTGTCATGTCAAGTGACCTAACTGGCCATTGAATGGGGTCACGTTGGCCTATCCACTGACCAGGAAAAATATTGCTAAGCCATTCTCAGACAGGTAACATACATGGTAAATTCATTTGGGTTTGCCCCAACTATTTCTTGAATACTGTGATGGGTCTGATTTTGAAGCATATTTTAATACAGATGCCCAGTTGCATTTTCTGCTATAAATATTGGACCTATGATATCGTCACTCAAAATACCAGTCCATACGTTTCTCTTGAGTTTGAGTGTGACCGTCTCAAGAAAACGTGGGGATTTACGTTTGACCAATAACGTACATTCTGTCTATTTACTGTTCCATTTAGAAAAATTTTACTTTCATTACTAAAACAAATAGATTTAATTTAACTGGTATTTTGGGTTATGGGGTCAGACATGACCTGGAGAACAACTCTTCGGGAGGATGT